ATTCAAAATAGTATGCATATTGCATAAAGTTCCAGCTTTTAATTGCTAAAACAAAGAAAAATAAAAAATCACGCACAGAAATGGAAATGCCCATATACATGCATACATTCTTGTGGTATTGAAATAAAAACATAATTAAAAAGCAACATTTTTTTTTATTCCTCTTTTTTTTTTCAATAAATGTTCAATTTAATGACCTTCGTTATCATACAATGTTTACAATATTTAGACCTGGACATCAATGCTTAATTTATAAGTTCTTTAAGGATGTCCCTCCATCCCAGCCGGCACAACTCAGAAAATAGTTACGCTTGTTTTCTGTTGCGTTTTTAAAACCTTCTAAAACAAAAAGAATAACACGTATCCTAAATGATTTTTATTCCGTGAAATTAACTATTACTATTTACCATAAAGTAATAATGGTTTCACCGTTATGGAAACGTAGTATTATATTTTATTATATTTTAACTTTCCGTAAGGAATGTGAAACCACTGATAAAAATATGCGACATTTAAATTTGACTTTAACACCTCAAAAAACACGTGTTAAACTCTAGTAAAACTGCCCGTAATATACACGTGCTTTTGGTTTACGCCTCGATCGTGAAAAACACGTGCCTATATAGGTTTTGTTTCCGAAAAAGAAACTAGATGTGCCGATAGGGATATATCTTTTAAATTATTGAATAAACCTGCAACCAATACTATAATGGATTTTGGAAAATTTTTCTTTTTATGATAATGTACTCTCGGTGCTTTTTTTTTTGATATTTAATTATGTAAATATGTTTGGATTTTTGATCACAATCAATAAAGAAGAATAGTTTTTGATAAGATCTAACGATTTTTTTTTTCCAGTTAATCTAATAAATCCATAAATTTTTTCTGATTTTGTAAACCATGGCCTACTTAAATACACGGCCTTCTATTCTGCTTAAATCGGAAAAAAAAGAATTTAAAATAACGCATAATTTGTCGGGTGGACAATCTTTTTAAAAATATTTTAATTATTAAGTTATGAATTTTAAGTAAGTAAATCTGGCACGGGATAAAAATTTTTGCGTTGGCTTAATCGAAATATCTACTAAACCACTAAACTTTGTATACTTTATTGAGGCTTCTTTTTAATAATAAATCATGATAAATTAGTAATCATGATTAATAAATGCTGTGTTTATTGAAAACAACACAAAATTTATTAACCTTCATAATTACATATTGCTTAAATGATTTTATAAAGACATGGGTTATATTTGTCAATAGAATTTTTGTGATATTCAAGGACTGTACAAGAAATAAAAATACACAAACTCTCAAAAGTAAGCTTTAAAAGTATAAATAAAGTTGAACACAAACTGATTAAATTTACTGATTAATGCGAAAAAAAAAATGTTCTTATTTTTTTCTCTGTTTTTGTTTAAAGACAACAATGTTATCTGCAACAATGGAATCACAGACTCTCTTTCTGATGTTATTAAAATAAATATTTGAAATAATAGTGTGTATAATTTCTTTTCCACAATTTTGGTGATTTAAACATAAAAATGGTTGGTAACCTTCTCTACTGCCAAGAACTAACTTTGCTGCTTTACGGTGTTGCATTCGAGACTGATAAATAACATCAAATACATGATCTAGCATAGCAAAACTATCACAGACATATTCTAAAAGGGGTAATGATGGAGTTGTTAGCCCACCTCTGGACAATATATTTAAATAATTATAATCATTCAACTCCTGTTGACAATGTTGAGTACAAAGCAATTTGCAACATATTTTAAACTTCTTATTCAGTTTTTTGGCAATAAAACCAGCAATATAACTAGCAACTTCACGAGAATCATCTGATAAAGTCACACAATCTAAATCTCTTTCTTTGATCTGATTCATCAAGGATCTAGCATGTTGTGTATCTTCTACAGCATTAATATCATTTTCGAAAATTTGAATTCATTCCTTTACCAAACTTTTTATTTGGATTATCTTCTCACTATAAATAACATCTTTCAAACTGACAAGGAACCTGCCACCACTCATTTGGCGGTATTGTCCAAATCTTCTTTCTAACGGATCACTTTGAAAACGAGCAGTCAATATAAATTTATAATTATCTTCTAACATATCTTCTATTAATAAAGCATGACATAATAAAGTTCTTTGTAGTGCTGATAACGTTTGAGGAGAGAGTGTATATTTCTCAAAATTTGGAATTTTTGTGCTTTTCCATTTATTTAACCAGTCAGTGAAAGCTCGAAAAAACTCAGGTTTTTTATCATTAATTATAGCAGCATTTCCAAGACAGTTGTTAGAAAACTGATTTTTTGAATTTGTAATTATCCACCATTTATTAAAAAGAGTTAAGAAAGATGCAATATCTAATTGGTCGGGAAAATATGATTTTATTGCTGCTGCTGTAGTTTCATGGAAGATACCTAAAGCAATAGTGACATTTTGCTTGTAGTTTCCAGGATCGACAACTTTGCTATTTATTTTTGGTGCTTTTTTTAAACTTGCATCCAACAGGCTGTCCTTTTCTAATAAATCATGAAATATTTTCCATGATATTTCTCCTGGTTGAACATGAATTTCATCTTTAAAACCTGAAAAATGAAATTCTGGAAAAATAAACCTTTTTTTATTTAGTAAGTTGTTTCGAATGTTTTTAATCAGATGCATTGTGTCAAAGAATAGGTGAATTTTTTGCGATTGTACATTAATAAACAAATCATCAGGTTTTTTACCATGTGCATTAAGCAACTTTGTAAAAGAGAAAACATTTGAAGCATGATTGTCACAAACAACACCTCGAACATTAAAACTATTTTTTATTAAAGATTGAATTAGGTTAAGAATTTCAGTCTTCAACCAATCACTGTTTAATTTTATAATTAGAACTGCTTTGACGACACAAGAGATATTTTCTTTTAAACCAACTACCATGAAGGAAACAATGCTTCTATAACATTCATTTTCCTCACTAATCCCAATTATATCTCCGCCAGAATATTCAGCACATTTTTGCAAATACATTTCATCAAAAATTATTAAAAGATCTTTTGATAAGCTCCCATTTTCATGTAACAACTTTAAAACTTTCATAGAATCAATTTCACCTGCTTTAAGCTTACCTAACAGTGATATAGATGGAAGTGGGAATTCCTTCAGCAGTAAATTATATGTTTGCAATGATGTGTAACGCAGCATCAAGGCAAATTGAAGCATATTTGAAGAATAAATTTGATTTTTTTTTACTTGGTGACTTTTAAGTTCTTCAAGAATAGAAGACAGCTTCTCTTTTTCGATGCTAAAATGTGAATTGAAGTTTTCCAGCATACTCCTTCTCTTTAACACACATTGGTAGGTTACTCTAAACCAAGGTGGTAAAGAAACTGGAAGATTTTTATAAAAAAGTTTAACGTGAAGATTTTTGTCAATACAAATACATTCAGCAACTTGAGGTATGTGAAGTTCATTTTGAATAATTTTATGGAACACAACACAATCATCAAATTTGGAAAATGAATATCCTGTTGGTGAATCAGCAACTGTAAGAGAATGAAGATCTTCAATAACATCATTTGATAAAAGTTTCTGATATTCATCTTTTTGAAAAATTCTTTTAGTTGGTGATTTTCTTGGTACAGACATAACTGGAAGTGAAGCCGTTGCTATGCTAGCCGGATATATTGTAGGAACAGGCTTCAAATTATACAACAAACGAAATCGTTTTGCTGATGCTCCTTTGTGTATTAAATTTTCATCAAAATGTTTTAAACAGATCACAGATGATTTAGTGACAGTCCAGAAATTTCTGTTTACAAATCTAACCCATAACTTTCTTAAGTCATCATCTTTTGGAAAACCAAAAACTGGGACTACTTCACCACCATTATAATTAGAGGTACAACCAACAACACAGCATTTATTAACCATTATTATTATTAATAATTAAAAAGTAGTCACAAATAACAATGCAGTTTGGCATTAATCTAACGCAAAAACTTTTATCCGGTGTCAGATTTACTTACTTAACATTTATACCGCAACATTTAAGATATTTTGAGAGAGTCTGTCCATATAATAGAATATACGTTATTTCAACTGGCCTTCTATTTTTTTTCGATTTAAGCAGATTAGAAGGCCGTGTATTTAAGTAGGCCATGTTGTAAACCTTATCTCGATTGCTCAAGGTGATAATGCACGTAAAGATCCTTTTGAAACTTTTTTTAAAATTGAACATTTTATCAATGTAACATTTAATTGACTTTCTCGATATCTTTAACTTTTCTAGATAACTCAGAAACATTTGGTGGTTTGTCTTTTTATTAACAAGTTTTTTATCTAAAAAAGTTAACATAAATTTAGCTTTAATGGTCAAAGCCAATGTTCAACTTTTTTGCCATTTAAATCATCTTTTCTTTTAATTCTCACCACATTATTTTTAATTCTACTAATTTTCTAAAAATTTCTTAACCATTCTATACAAATATCCAAGTTGTACCAACATTAATACTTTCTTTAAATTTTTTTTTGCTTTTTTTTTTTTTTTGTCAAAATACTTTGTTTACATAGATCTTTTATTTTTTGCTAACTACTTTAAATTTGTGATTAAATTATAAATAATATCGTTAAATATTGTTGAAACAAAAAGTAATCAAGTTTCAAAAGTGTTTCCGTTTCAATGCCGCAAAACTGTATATGAATTAATTAATAAAATGTCTATCATAAAATATTTATATCATTTTTGTGTTCATATTTGTTTATATTTAGATAAAAAGCACTCAAAGGTGTAAAAGTTAAAAAGTTAGTTATGAGTATTATAGTTAATCATTAAGTTCATTATTTATATTTAGAATAAAAAGAAAATAAAAATATTTTTTTCAAAATTATAAGACTTTTTATACTTTTTAAGTATATTTTATTATAGTCTATCAAGGCAGACATTCTGCAAAAAAAAAAAAAAAAAAAAAAAAAAGGATCAAAGATAGGTATTGTACTTTGGTTTTTAACAATTTTTAACTTAAGCATAAACAAAAAAAAAATCTTTTTTTAAAAATGATAAAAGGTTTTTTATTGATTTTATATTTATTTTATTAGTGATGACAATGGACCAGATAAGTAAAAGTTATTTCATTTATAAATTTTTAATTTTCTGTTATGTTATAGTTATGTTTTATAATTTTTTTTAGCTTGCTAAAGGTTAGACCTAAGTAAGTATCTTTATTAATAAATTTTTAGTTTGATTTTTGAAATGGTTTTATATTAAATAAAAATAATAATTTGATAAGTTTTCAATATAGAAAAAAAAATTTAGGTTTTATTGTTAAATTGTTGAGTTATTTTGTTAGTAAATTTAGTAATTAATTATTGGAATTTGATTTTAAAGAAGTTGTAAAGATTTTTATTTATTTAACAAAAATGGCGCCAACATTGGCATTAACAGGAAATTTGGTTATCACCATTACAAAGAAAAACAAATAACCCTATCGGCACATCTAGTTTCTTTTTCGGAAATAAAACCTATATAGGCACGTGTTTTTCACGATCCAGGCGTAAACCAAAAGCACGTGTTTATTACGGGCAGTTTCACTAGAGTTTAACACGTGTTTTTTGAGATTTTAAAGTCAAATTTAAATGTTGCATGTTTTTACCAGTGGTTTCTCATTCCTTACGGAAAGTTATTAAAATATAATACTACGTTTCCATAACGGTGAAACCATTAATACTTTAACTGGTATTTATGGTAAATAGTAATAGTTAATTTCACGGAATAAAAACCATTTAGGATACATGTTATTCTTTTTGTTTTAGAAGGTTTTAAAAACGCAACAGAAACCAAGCGTAACTATTTTCTGAGTTGTGCCGGCTGGGAAGGTTATATTCCACTTCAAAACCTCTATTTGTATCATACTTCAATTTAATTTTTTATTTCTTGTAGGTATTTATTTATTGCTCAAACGAGTTTTTAACCAAAGTTGTTTGTTGCTTGATCTTAGTTAAATCACTCATATTGAGTAACAACTTTAAGGTAACTATTGCTTATAATGAGTGTTTTTTATAATTTATTACTTTGTTAAATTCTAAAATCTTTCCTTACTCAAAAACTTTATTTTTTTGTTTTTTTTTAGATTCAGAGTTGACTCGAAATGGAAAAGAAAGGAAAGACTGTATTTTGGGTATTTGGATTTATTAATATTTATTATTTAACAAATATATATTACTTAAAGATAAGTTTTTAAGTATATCTATATTGTAAATGTATATAGGAATTTGTAATATAATTATATTATTATTTACTTGTATATACTTTATCAAAATTGTTAATAATCTTTTAGAAAGTGTTTATTACTTTACTAGTTTTTTATTTATTTGTGTATTTGCTGTTGAAGTGAAATGCCTTTCGGGAAAAACTTGTTTAATTTGAACGGAAGTATCCGTTTATTTACGGAAAAGTTCTGACAGCTGCCGATGACCAAACTACCCTTTGTTTTACGGAAAAAACCCATTGTATTTTAACGGGAAAAATCCGTTTGTTAACGAAAACTTCCGTTTACATACGATGGGTTTTTCCGTAAAATAACGGGTAGTTTGGTCATCGGCAGCTGTCGGAACTTTTCCGTAAAAAATTTTTTTTAACAGTGTAGTGTTGTGACTAAAATTAAAAATTGTAACTAACTAAACTAAAAAAACCGTAACTAAAATTTGTCGACTAATTTTTTAGCTAACTAAAATTACCCGACTAACCTTTTAGTTAACTAAAACTAACCAACTAAGTTTTTAGTCAATTAAATATAGCCGACTTTGTTTTTAGTCCAACTAAATAAATAATAAAAATAATTTGGGTTAATGATATCATTTCTATTTGAATTTTTGAATAAGTTTGCTAATGCATAATCATTTTACCGTTTAATACCGCAAAAATAAAAAAATATCAAAATAATTTTCTTTTAATTTTTAATGCCGAAGGTTTAACGAGATACTTCAAGAAAATATTTCATAAAAATCCAAAAGGTAAACATGGTAAAACACAAATATCTTTAGAATTGAATAAACTACCAAGACCAGCGCAAAGGGGTGAGGAGATAGGGTAGTTTGTTTTGCGTGTGACATAAATGAACTTTTAGCTCATTTAGTAAGCCAATTTGACTCTTTTAGATAAGTAAGTCGGCAAATGTAGATTTTCAGAACAGTCACTTGGTAAATTTAAAAAAACAAGTATTATTTTTTCCTTTTTCTATTTAGCTAAAAGTTTAACGGCGCTCTCTAGGTGTTCTCTACTTGTGCCGGCCCTGTAAGCTACAGTATATTACAATAATTTGTTTTTATTATGTGCCACTTTTTTGGATCCAAATTATAAAAGTTTTAAATTCTTTCAAAAGTACGAGAAAAAAACTTAAAATTGTTAGAGAATTTTTGTCGGAATTTCATTTGACAAAAAAAAAAGTTTGTGATATAATTCCAGTTAAAAAGGTGACAATCAAACCAAAAAAATTTAATTTATCATTTGACGATGAAGATGATGATTGCGGAAATGATAGTGAAAAAACAATAAGTTTAGATTTAAAAAAGGAAATTAGTGGTTATATTAAATTGTCAGTAAATTAGCGAAATGTTTTCATACTATCGGCATTAAAATCAATATGTGTTTCCAATATTGTATTGTATTTTAACAATGATTTTATGTTATAAATAATTATCACTGTTACCACTGCACCATGTAAACGCCTTTTCTATGACGCATTAAACACTTTGAAACAGAATAGCAACTGAATGTTTTCAAATGTTGATGTTTTTGTACAAAAATTTGCAATTTTTTAATTTAGTTTAAAATAATATATTGCGTATTGTATTTGTGATGATGGTTACGTTAACATTACAATAGGTTTGGGGAGGGTAAATAAAGAGAGGCAATTTAATGCCCATTTATAATTTTTAAGTGAACACAATATTTTTATATCTTCTGTATTTGGAAGAACTAGAATGCCAAATGTTTCTATTGCATTGTTTTTAATTTTTTTTTTACTGTATTTTTCAATCTACTATATTTTGTTTTCTGTTGTTGTTTTTTTTAATTTTTTTTTTTTGCATATGGGGTGGATATCAATTGTTAGGAGAGGTTGATATTTGAAAGGGTGGGGAGGGGGAGTCGTAGATTTGTTGTGAAAATTTGAGTTTTCACAAGAAATTTGAAGATTGAATCCATTCCTATAATATGGCAGGGGACAGGGCTGTACTGAACAACGAAGATGTAGGGGGAGGGAGAACAAATGAAAAAAGCTTTTTTACGGTAAAAATCTCACGAAAGTAGGGCTTTTTTTTTATATTTAATAGCCAAATTTCAGTTTTAACCAAAAGAGTCTCAAATTTTCCAAATTATTGACAAAACTGACAGAATGTTGTAAACCTTGGACTCCCGTCGGTACGGCCTTGGCAGGGGAGATTATTTTTGATGTGCGCTTATTATTGCACACTACCTATAGGAAGCAGCACATTAAAAATATAAGTTAAACGTTCAATAAGCGTACCAAATTTGATATGACTAAAGGGCATTATTTGTACATTCTATGCTGATTGGGTGTTTATAAACATTTGCAACAACCTCATAATGATATCATAAATGTCTCATATCATGATATCATAGTTAGATATCAAACTATGATATCATGATATGAGACATTTATGATATCATTATGATATCAAAATGAAATCACACATTGATATCATTTTGAACTCAAACCCTGATATCATAATATGAGAAGTTTATGATATCAAAATGAAATCACTCATTGATATCATTTTGAACTCAAACCCTGTTAGCATAAAATGAGAATTTTATGTTATAAATATGATATCAAAATGAAACCACGCATTGATATTATTCTGAACTCTAAACTTGATATATATAAGATAATATGAGAAGTTTACGCAAAACTTGTTATCATTATAATTCCGCTATAATTATTTTATTTAATTATATTTTAATAAAAAAAGCATTTTATTATTATTTTAATTGATTATATTTTTATAAATGATATTTTCTATTTATTTAGTAAAGTTAAACTATATCGTATAAATAAACATTTTTGATGAAATTGATAGATGTCATATTATATATATTTAAATATAAATTCAAAATAATATTACAAAACTCTTCGAAAAAAAGTCAATATTTAGTCACATTTATTAAAAAAAATAATAGACAGCAAATATTCAGGTAAAGCCTTTTCAAAAAGAAATACAGAAAATGTCACAAATTTGTAGATCAATCTTTGACAGATATATATTCAGAGAGATTGAGATAAGGGCTCGGCTATTGCATCGCTTTAACTTTACAATTGGGTTTTCGACAGATATACAGACTTGATCTAAAAGTCACTTTTTGAATGTTGCATTCTACTTCTTTTCCAAATAAAATTTAGATTTATTTATCATCTGAAAACAATATTGCGAGCTGAAAATAATAAACAAAAATACTAGCCACCAACAAAAATCTAAATTCCCAGCAAACATTTCGACGTAAATATAACGTCGAAATTAGGTTAAATTAACGTTGTTTTGACGTTGAATATTAGTATTGAGTTGAAAATCGAATATGATTTGACGTCTAAATGCTGTTAAGTTTCGACGTCAAATACATGGCAATATTTAAATTTAAAATAACGTAAAAATATTACGCATTATAGATGTTAAACATTGACGTCGCATTTTGGTTACAGTTAAACGTCACGCACTAGTTAAAAGTCATAGGAGAAACAACGTTGAAATTATTCGCCGTATGGATTAAAAAACCCGAATAAAGTTGTGTTAAACTAAAAGTATAACAACGACTGTTGTTAACGACAAGTTGTTATGATATCTCTATTTTAAACTATACTTTGGAGTTATAATAACAATAAAATATACTAAAAATAAAATAAATTTAGAGAAATATATATTGACTAAAAATATAACTGAATTTTAATACATTTATAAACAAATACGTTACATGAACATTTCAAAATATCGTTATAAAACATTTTTTTCGGTGAATTTACGTCCACCTTTTCTCTTTGGCGCATGCTTAAGGTGCTTTGAAATGGCATCGTCGACATCCTTCTCATTGCAATTGTTTAAATTAAGAGCGTTTGCTAGAGAAAAAGCATATTTTTATTTTCAACAATTTAACAACTAAAAAAAGAAAGCTGGACTAAAGTTTTCTGTTTACCAGCACTATTGACTTTTAAGGTGGTTTATTTTATGGTTTTATCACTTTTTGTGGTTTTTAAGGTGGTTTATTTTCATGGTTTTATCCTTAGTCCAACTTTATATACAGTGTAAAATATATATGCAACATACAAATATTTACATTAAATAAAAACTTACTTTTTATTATTTTATAAAGGCAAGTAACACTAAAGGGCTGCTTTCCATCCTTACCCTTCATATTAAAATCACTCATCAGATGATTATTCATCAGCCTATTAACAAATTATGTCAATATAATTATACATATTTTATTTATTTCATGCTATAAAATATGTCGGGGATGATCCCAGAAAAACTAGAAAGTCTTTAAATGAAAGAAACAAATCCTTTTATAAAAAAAGTCCTTCACTTGCTAACATTTTTTGTAGTTGTGGACAGTGGAGCGGACAGCCGAGGATAGTTGTGGGCACTGTAGATAGACATTTTAGTTTGCTTGCTATTCTGTTTAAGAAAATTTAGTGTGGGGGCGGGATAGATGCATACACCATTTTGAGGGAATTAAATAATTAATGAATTGAGTTATACACTGTATATTTTATTTTTATTGAAATTATCATAAAGTATTTAAGACTATAAAAAATATACATTTGACAGTTTCAAAACATATTTTTATGACTAATTATAGTAAAAACAATTAATATACCTATTTAAAACGTTTGCAATATTTTCTTTTACATTCACACCACCAACTTTAGCAATTCTTCTAACCTAATATATATACATACATATATATACATACATTTATATACATACATACATATATGTATATATATATATATATATATATATATATATATATATATATATATATATATATATATATATATATATATATGTATATATATATATATATATATATATATATATATATATATATATATATATATATATATATATATATATATATATATATATATATATACATATACATATACATATATATACATATATATGCATATACAAATATATGCATATACATATATATGCATATACATATATATAAATATATATACATATACACATATATACATATATATACATATATATACATACATATATATATACATATACATATATAGACATATACATATATCTTATACTGCTGAGTTAGGTGAGCGTGATGATGTCATACTCACCTAACGTCAAATAGCCTGCTGCCGGGGGCTTCAGTACATATATCGACTGACAAATAGCCTGACTCGCAGTGGAGTGCTGCTACATCGACTGAGGGTTTGGTATGGGTCAGCAACCTTTTCATTCATTATTCTTCGTTTTCCCTCATCGTTTTTTAAAAACGCTCACTTAAATATATTAATATATATATATATATATATATATATATATATAAATATATATAAATATATATATATATATATATATATATATATATATAAATATATATATATATATATATATATATATATATATATATATATATATATATATATATATATATATATATTACTAAGTTTAATACATAATATATAATATGAATTATGTATTAAACTTAGTGAACTTTGTGTGGAAGATTCCACCAAATGGAAAACTTTGTTGTAAATAAAACAATAACTAACAAATTTTTGTTTAAACTCAATGTCTAATAATTCTTACTCTAAAGCTTGAAACTCTGCTATATTTTGGCGCTGAATCAATTCTACATCTAACTCTAATCTGGCACGCGCTTCTGATTTTTGGTTATCTCGAATTTCTTTCAAAAGGAAGACAACTTTTTTCTGGAACCATGAACACAAAAAAAAAATTATTATATATCTGAATGACTTACAATTGACTTCAGGAATGCTCTGGCAGGAGAATCACATGCAAAACACTTTAAATTAACTTTTATTTTTTTATCGTTAAAATTAAATCTATTTTGTAAAAGATTAATAACTTCTATTTTAAAATCATACAAATAGTCATTTAAAGATGTCGGCTTTGAGTTTCCACAAAAAAGTGCCACAATAAATACATCATACTTATCAAATTTAGCTAAAATAGGCCACTTCTGTAAATTTGAAGACTTAAAAAGGGGAAGACCATCAATATTAATTATTAAATCAATCTCTTTATTTTGGTTTAAAAATAAAATGTTATTAAAAATTGTTTTCATAATTCCACTTTCAATCCCAAAGTAAGCATATGTACCACCGCATTTTTCAACTCATGATGTAGATTTTGGAATTTGAATTTAGGTGCGACAATCTTAGGGATAAGTAGAGTGACTATTTTGTCTTGAAATACTCAAAATTTCATTAACACAGTCTTGCCTACATATGTTTCTAGTAGCCCACGATGCAAGCTGTTCACTCAAAGTAGGTAGACTACTATTTTCTTATTCAATGTCAGCAATTCATTCTGAAGAACTAGAATACAATCTGAGTAAATCACTTCTGGACGATGCGATAGAAACAGAATCTTCATTGTCCCCTTTTTCAAGACGTGTCAGATAAAAACAGTCTATCTTCCTGACTACAACAACTATGAGAACTGCTTATATCTGTTGTGAAATGGTTAACCTCTGCTGTTATTTTTCTCCACCGATTAATATACTTTTCCTATATACAAAACAACATATTACCTATA